TCCCTACCTGCTCTATACCATGCGTAACCTTATAAACCCCGATCATGTCACCCCTCAGCTGTTGTTTCTCCAAGCTAAAGAGTCCCAAGCGCTTTAACCTGATCTCTGTAGTCTGGAGATGAGCTGTAATTCTGGGGGAGCAGGAATATCAGCCTGAAACCGTCAGTCACTTTCCAAGCACAGTTTTGCCTGAGCATCTCATTCCTTTTCCTTTTTTCCCTTTTGTTGTTCTTCTCGAGACAGAACTGGGAATCGACAGGCACTCTCTGGGAGAGAAAAATAGTGGCACTGTCATGACCACGTTGAACACAACCTCTGGAGGGTCCACGACTGGAAGAGAAGAGTTTTCTGGCGAAGTGTATGAATGGATCATCCATACATTAACTGCCTTCATCTGCCTTTGTGGACTGGTGGGGAACGGAAAGGTCATCTGGATCCTCCGCTTGTGCACTCAGAGGAGATATTTCGTGATTTACATCTTGAACTTGGCCATCGCGGACTTTGGCACCCTTGTGGCTTTGTTGATTCGAGAGACCAGCCTCCCCTTCCATAAACCACAAACGCTTACCCTCTCCATCCTGTATTCGCTCTTTTTCTTCACGCATAGCGCCAGCTTGTATCTCCTCACAGCCATCAGCATGGAGCGGTGCCTCTCAGTCCTGTCTCCGATCTGGTATCAGCGCCACCGAACAGGTTACGCTTCCACTTCCGTCTCGTTCCTCCTCTGGGCCTTCGCGGGCCTTCTTTCCGGAGGGTTGTTATTGTTTTGCACCGTTGTGTCCTTTGAGACATACAAAATGGCAGTCAGCGTGATCTGCGGCGTGAACGTGCTGATTTTCACGCCCCTCATGGTGGCTTCCACTCTGACACTGTTCACGAAGATCTACTGTTACTCACAGGGACATCCGCTGCCTAGGGTCTACTCGGCTATCTTGGTCACGCTCCTGTGCTTCATAATCTTTGCCATCCCACTGAGTGCTGTCCACATCATCTTAATCTACAGTAAACATTACTCGCGGGCGGCTTTAGAAATATCTGTCCTCTCTGCCTCTTTCAACAGCAGCATTAACCCCCTCATTTACTACTACATCGGGAGAGATGGGAATAATTGGTGTAAGGAGTCCTTGAAGGCTGTGCTCCAAAGGGTTTTCAAGGAGGACACAGATTCAAGGACAACAGGGTCCCTGGTCTGAGATCTATGTATTAAGTCAGGGGTCATTTCCTGCAGGAGCGCACAGGAGCGGAGCTCCGGCAGTAAAGAGCCCAGGGGGTGGGCACATGCAATAAGCCCCACCACCTTCTCCCAGCAGCCCTCAGTCAGAGCAAGAAGCAGCCAGGTAAGTTGCAGAGCTCCCCCGGGGGCCCCGGTCCAAAACAGCCCAGTGGCACCTTTAAGACCAAGTCTTATTCAGGTACAAGCTCTCCCTCCTCTGCGAGGACAGATCTGCACATTCCTCCCCCCCCCCAATAGCTAGCAATCCAAAACAGTCCAGTGGAGCCTGAGCGGTGGGTGTTGCCTTCTGACACACTTCCGGTGATGTCAGGGGGTGTGGCATATGCAAATACGTTATGCTAATGAGTCATGCTAATGAGCTCATGCACCTCTTTTTCTATGAAATGACCCCTGTATTAAGTAAAATAGATTCAGGCAGGTAGCCCTGTTGGTCTGAAGTGGCAGAAGAAAGTTTGAGTCCAGGGGCTCCTTTAAGACCAACAGAGTTGAATTCTGGCTACAAGCTTTCATCTGCAAGCACAGTTCTTCAGAAGAAGCTTTTTTTTCACACAAAAGCTTACCTTGGACCAGTGTTCCCTCTAAGCTGAGCTACGTTTGTGAGCTAGCTCACAGTTTTTAGCATCCAGCTCACACATTTTTGTCTTCGCTCAGGAAGGATGGCTCCAGAGCAAACTAATATACACAGTAGCCAAATTGCTCGCTCACAACCAGGGGTCATTTCGTAGAAAAAGAGGTGCAGGAGCTCATTAGCATAACTCGTTAGCGTAACTTATTTGCATATGCCACACCCCCTGACATCACTGGAAGTGTGGCAGAAGGCAACACCCACCACTCAGGCACCACTGGACTGTTAGCTATTGGTGTGGGGGGGGGGAACATGCAGATCTGTCCTCGCAGAGGAGGGAGAGCTTGTACCTGAATAAAACTTGGTCTTAAAGGTGCCACTGGACTGTTTTGGACTGGGGGGCCGGGGGGACCTCTGCAGCTTACCTGGCTGCCTCTTGCTCTGACTGAAGGCTGCTGGGAGCAGTGGGTGGGGCTTGTTGCATGTGCCCGCCCCCTGGGCTCTTTACTGCCGAAGCTCCGCTCCTGTGCACTCCTGAAGGAAATGACCCCTGCTCACAACTGTAATGGCAGTAGCTCACAAAAGTAGGATTTTGGGTCACAAGACTCTACAGCTTAGAGGGCGCATTGCACTGGACTCAGATTTATGCCCCTGTGGCTCAAAATGGGTTGCACATTCAAATGGGAAACATAATATAATGCGACCCCGAATAACCCCCCTAAAATGCCTGCAGCCTATGTTCCATCAGAAGCCCTAGTAAATAAAATGGCTTATTAAACACATCTGGAGATGGTAGGGTTGCCAACTTCAGCCTGGAAGATTCTTGGAGATCTGGGATAGTGCCTTGGGAAGGGAGGGGTTTGGGGGAAAGAGCTCACTGGGGATGTGAGTCCACCCTCCAAAGCGGCCGTTTCCTCCAGGGGAACTGATCTCTGAAGTCTGCTGTTCAGCTGTAATTCTGAGAGCATTCCAGCTACCACCGGGAGGTTTCAAAAACTAGACCGGCTTTGGTGTGATTACAATAAGAAACACAGGGCTCACCAGAGAAAATTACTATTCTATATCTTTAAAACGCTTCGTTGTGTTATTATACCAAATTTCCTTCTAACAAATTCCCTGCGTTAACTGGCATTCATTCATTATATATGAAGTGCATTCCATGAACATAAGCAAAGCCAGTAAATGATAATATGAGTACGACCACACAAAACGATACGAAACCCTGATGTAGTTATTCTTGACGTTCTTTTGGCCGAGCTCCTGGAATGTTTACTCTTTGAGACGTCCTGACGGAGCGGTAAAGGGTGCAAAGCAAACCGAGGAGTCCTCGTGATACGAGTTCCCGAACAGCGTTTATCACTCCTTCATTTGAAAACATGTAAAGGTAAAGGTAAAGGTTCCCTTGCTTGAAAGCCAGTCGAGTCTGACTCTAGGGTTGCGGTGCTCATCTCTGTTTCAAAGCCGAAGACCCAGCGCTGTCCGAAGACGTTTCCGTGGTCATGTGGCCGGCATGACTAAACGCCAAGGTGCACGGAATGCTGTTCCCTTCCCACCGAAGTGGTACCTATTTATCTACTTGCAATTTCTTGCTTCCGAACTGCTAGGTTGGCAGGAGCTGGAACTAGAGACGGGAGCTCACTCCGTCATGCGGCACACTCGGGTCTCGAACTGCTGAACTACCGACCTTCCACAGCCTGCAGTTTAGCGTCTTATCCACTTGAGCCACCGCAGCTCCCCAAGAAAACATGTCGTTCCAAGGAATGGAAGAGATAAAGAGGCATGCTACCCTCTGTGGGGCAACAGCTAGGCTGCCTGAGGACCACAGTCGGTCCCTGGGGACATGGGTAGAGGCTAGCCCAATTTCTTCAGTTCTTGGAAGCGAAGCAGGGTCAGCTCTGGCCAGTATTTGGATGGGAGACCTCAGGGTGGGGGGGGACAGGGTTGCTCTGCAGAGGCAAGCAGTGGCCAACCACCTCTGAATGTCTCTTTGCCTTGAAAACCCCACGGCGGGTTGCCATACGTCAGCTGTGACATAAGAACATAAGAACATAAGAGACGCCAATGTTGGATCAGGCCAAAGGCCCATCCAGTCCAACACTCTGTGTCACACAGTGGCCAGAAATACCAGTGCCATCAGGAGGTCCAGCAGTGGGGCCAGGACATTAGAAGCCCTCCCACTGTTGACCCCCCCCCAAGCACCAAGAAGACAGAGCATCACTTGCCCCAGAGCCCCTAGCTATACCTTGTGGCTAATAGCCACTGATGGACCTCTGCTCCATATGCTTATCTAATTCCCTTTTGAAGCCATCCATGCTTGTAGCACCCACCACTTCCTGTGGCAGTGAATTCCAAGTGTTAATCACTCTTTGGGTGAAGAAGGACGTCCTTAATGAGTTCCTGCTGGGCGTGGCCAACTCAGGAGCCAGCCGGAACTCCGTTCCTGTGCGTTCCTGCCCAAAAATAGCCCTGCCTTTAGATATGTTGAGTTCTAGCAGGGGAAGGGCTTTGATACAGAACATGTTGCAGGAATCCAGGAGGAAGTTATGAAAAGCATGGGTTCGTGTGGTTGGGTCAGCTGGGTCCAAGAAAAGGAAAGACTCGCTGAACCAAATTCAGTTCATCAAAGGTACTCTCGGCCACTACTCCAGCCTGGGGATTTTTTCCAACCAAGAAGACTTTGGCTCCTGAGTACCTTCAGGTTGTGACCTCCTCTTGAGTACCTTCGGGTTCTGACCTGCTCCTGAGTACCTTCGGGTTGTGACCTGCTCCATTTCTCCGTTGTACACACCCCTTTTCCAGATGGAGCACGAGAGTCCATGAATGGGAATGCAGATGGGAACCTCAGGCCACCTTTGCCAACTAGGGAATCTCCCCTGCAGGAGGAAGAAAAGTTACAAAATCAACACAGGCCTATAAAGCCAGATCCATGATTAAGGAAAGAATTCTGGGTGGGCTGGGGGGAGACAAGAGAGTGAGAAATTACGGATCCCGTCCGTTAGTGGCAGTCGCATGATTCGTTATCAGCAAATACATGTGCAGCCGCTTCATCTGATATCTTCCCACTGGTAACATCAGACTGCAAAATGCAAGGGGAGAAATAAATACATTTTCTGTTCAGCCAGACAGCTGTATTGTAGATCTGTCCTCTTGCAAAGGAACTGAAAAGAGGGTTGTCACACACCTTTGATTTAAATCATAGATATTCATGTCGATCGTGTCTGCTCTCATGTCACTCTTATGGCCTCTGTAGTGTTCGCCAGCTGGTCGGGATGACGGTACAGGACTGCTTTTATTCCCGACAGTCAATTAAAAAGTCGATGTATTGCTTTTGAGTCTCAAAAGGGTATCAAGTTTTAGCCTTTCAGTCTTGCTTGGGAAATTAATCAGCATTATCGAGATGTATTCTGAAATGCACCGTTGGATTATCTCAGAGGGTAGCCGTGTTGGGTCTGCAGAGAAACAAGTAGATTAGGATCCCATAGCACCTTAGAGACCAAGAAGATAAGCATATGGAGCAGAGGTCCATCAGTGGCTATTAGCCACAAGGTATAGATAGGGACTCTGGGGCAAGTGATGCGATGTCATCTTGGTGCTTGGGGGGGGGTCAACAGTGGGAGGGCTTCTAATGTCCTGGCCCCACTGGTGGACCTCCTGATGGCACTGGTATTTCTGGCCACTGTGTGATACAGAGTGTTGGACTGGATGGGCCTTTGGCCTGATCCAACATTGGCATCTCTTATGTTCTCTTATGTTCTTAAGATTTCCGGTGCATAATACGGTTGCCAGATCCGGGTTGGGAAGTACCTGGAGAGATTGGGGGATGGAGCCTGCGGAGGGTGGGCTTTGGAGAGGACTTCAATGACAGAGCCCACCTTCCAAAGTGGCCGCTTTCTACAGGGGAACCGATCTCTGTCACCTGGAGATTAGTTGCAATCCCAAAAGGTCTCCAGCCACCACCTGGAGGCTAAAAATGAGAGATCACGGGAGGAAGTGGAAATCCAAGAACATCAGTGACAAAAAATAATGAAGAGTCAATAAAGAGATGTTGCAAAATCATTTACTGTAGTAACTCTGTAGAAAATTCTCTTCTATTCTCGCTCACACGCTAACGAATGCTGCGCAATGTAATCAATTATGTCATGTAAAGCAAGGTTCTGTTGTTAGAGAGTCAACATGGAATGTTTCCTTCAAGAGGTGATGAGTAGTAATTGATAAGAACTGGGATTGTGACACGCTCAGATAAAGCAAATATTGTGAAACAAACTGTTTACATTGTGCAGCATTCGTTAGCGTGTGAGCGATAATAGAAGAGAATTTTCTTTTTGTTGTTGTTCAGTCGCACAGTCGAGTCTGACTCTTCGCGACCCCATGGACAAGATCATGCCAGGCCCTCC